ACTTGGGAGAATTTCCAATTAAAAAGAGACGAAGATGACAAGTCCAAATTGCATGTTGCTTTCAACGACAGCAGGTAAGACACTTGCATTCAGAATTTCTTTTACTTTGAACGTCACTGCTGTTTCAGAAGAAAGTCCAGCGACCAGGCATGTTTACCTTTGCGAACTCATCAATCAAGAAGATCAAGCCTAACCATTCTAACGAAACGGGAGCGAAATAGGTAAAAAGTGGATTTTCTTCCTTACCTATTCAATTTTGACTCTAAAATTTCAAGATCTGATCCATCACTGAATAACTCATGTGAAGTGCTTTCAATCCGTGAGGACAGCGCTTCGGTGAGCAACGCATCATCGAAGTCCGAAAAGGCGAATGAAAAGATCGCCGCTAAGTTCTACCCAGAAGCTCGTGGAAGTTCGAGTTTTATCGAAAGGAACGGCAGAATCAGTCTCACTGTTATAGTACAGACGATTAATCAGGTTTGGGATTTACCGTCGAATAACTCGTGCTCTGCCTCACGCCCCTTTTGATTTTCCTCTCGCATCCTTTCTGAGAAATTCTCTAAGAGAGCAGGGGAGGGGAGGGGGAAGGAAAATCCGTCACTGAATCACAATTATACTTCCAAAGACCATGATTTCATATAAAGTACGAACGAGAATTTGTCGAAAACATCTCGGTATTTAGATGCCTTAACATCAAAAAAACTTCTTCTAGGATAACTTAGACTTTGATACAAGTAAAGCTGTTTCTTGCTTACAATCTGCAATAGAACGAGCACTAATGAAGAAAGCAGAATTCAGATCAGGGCGAAATCAACTGATAAACTAACCATAAATTTAAAAATAATGCCAAAATGGGCGTGAGGTAAATAGGCAAAGTGTATAATGGAAACAATACAATGAATATGACTCGTAATGTCATCCCCTCTTAGGTTATGGAACGAAATGGTGTTGTAAGACTATGCGAGCTGGCTTTAAACATTGCTGATACCCTTCTCCGAATACCTATCGATCAGTCTGAGACGTTTTTCTCCCAGCTGACTATGATGATCTTCAGGTAGAAATTTGATAAATCGATTGATCTGAACAGGACCATGTTTATAAGCCGATGTAAGTAACAGTCAAAATGGAAAGCTTTCAGGATTTATCTCTCACTTGGTTGCCCTTACGGCTGCAACGATGGGATAAAAAGCCAACATGCGGACTTTC